GGAATGCTTTAAATTTGTGAATATAAATCCTTTCTGACCATATCCAAGTAYAAAATAAACAACAATAAACTAACAAAAAATGTTAGTAGGTTAACAGTTAGTGGGCTAGTGAAATTTATTCTTAATTGTATTACAGTGGCATCTGTTGATGCACTATCAGAATATGCTATACTATCTCCAAATAATTATTTCATTTTTGAGAGAATATCACAGTTACTAGGCCCTGAAGCTAGGCCCACAGTTACTAGCAAGCTGAAACACTAAGAGATGAAAGTAAAAACAGAACGATTCCTTTGAATTTAAAGACATTGTTTTGGTTACAAAAGAAAAAAAGTTTTTTTCATGGTGAAAACACAATACTTCTACAACTGCGAGGAGAAAAATTTTCCAAACCAGTTATGAATTTTCCCAAGACAGTACAGTTATGGTGAATAGGATGAACAATGGAAAAAGGGCACATGCAGTACAGTTTTTGCTTATTGAGTCTATTAATAAAAAAACATAGAGCTGTTCTAAAAGCCCTGAAAGCAACTTCTTCTCCCTCTTGAAAAAAAAATAATAAACTTTTTATGTCCCTCCTTACTCTAACCTATACCTGATTTAACCTAATTAAAACCTATTTGATATTTGCGTCCTTGGATATTTGTTCTCTGTTTAAACCTATTGCTGGCATAGAGAAAGAATARCCACAGCTTTTTTTCAAGTCTCTCCTTATGCATAAAAAGCCTCTTTTCTCAGTGCACTGCACTGAATCCAGGTGCCCACATGAGAATGGAGAGCAACTCAACAGCCAGACTGCTCCATGTGGCATCAGAAATGCTCTAGTTTATTTTTTCCCCCATGCAGCACAGAGAGCACGAGAGAGAATAATCCTGTTACATCTGTGCCCCAAATACTTTTGGCCAACAGGCCAAGGTCAAGCTACCTGTTGGCTTAAGTTAAGTTTGACTGAATGCTATTTCCCAAGGTCAGCTTGTGTAAGTAACTGCACACCTCAAAGCAAGCACAACAAAGAGCCAAAGACAACATAACCGATTTTCTAAGGTTGTCACTGTTTCCCCACTGCAAAGCAATACATTTCTCTTTCTTTAGTGAACATTAATAATTCCATTTGATGTTGCACAAACAAAATATRTAAATATTTTTTACATCTCTGCCAGCTCTGTGTCATTGCCTGTTCAAGTAAATGCTAACATCTGGACCAATTTTTTTTTTTCCCGTGTTCTAAAAACCTGATTTAGTGTTCTGCTAGTACTGACCATAGTATTTGCATTTATTATTTCTGTGATGCTCTGATATCATTTTCTTCTCATCAAATTCAATGTGTAACAGAGAGAAACGGAGAGGAATATCTAATAGTTCTGCACTTTGAGCCCTTCAGAAGGTTGCCACACTGATTTTAGCTCTGTGGGTCAAGAGTAACTGAAACAAATGTCCATTAGAAGTCCCTCATAATGCCTGACACAAAAGTAGAAAAGTTTTAATTTAAAACTGTCATTCTGACCAGTTGGTTAGCAAATGCAATTTAACCACTTGATTACTTATTTTTTCCCAGGAATTCACAGGCAGCTACAGGAGCTGGTAAATTGCATCATCTTTTAAAGTCAAAAACATTCAAGCATTGAATTCTCTGTGTATATTAATCTTTTTGGAAGGAAACTTGAGTACTAAAATGGAAGAGGATGAAATCTTTTTTAAGTCCATTTTCACTAAATTTTATTTGCAAATTCAGTATTTCTGTTTCATTTAAGCTCTACTGCTTAAATAAAAAATTTCTGGTTCTAGCTTTCTCCTGTAAGTCAGTAATACCTACATTAAAGTTCTTTTATATTCCTTCATTTCTGGGACAAACAACAAGGGATTTAAAAGACTGCATCTGTATCAGTTACTCTGATACTGTCCAGTACTACGTTGTAAACTAAAACTCATTCCTCCACCATCTTCCACTTTTGTGGTTTTTTCATTTGGGAAAGTCTGCTGTCAGCCCTTTCCATCCAAACTTGGTTCAAAATACTTTAGGGAGAATCCTGCCATTTTCTCATCTAATTTTAATATGGATGAGAGGGTCTGTTTTCAATTTTTTTAACGCTAAAGTTTTTCTTACTTTTTGCCATTTCTACCCCAGCTGGCTCTTCTGATGAATAAATCTGAAAAAAAAAATGTCATTTGATACACTTCAACAATTAGAAATTAATTTGTTTCTTTATCTAAGTGGATAAGCATTCCCATGGGGAAAGCAAGAACTCTACTCTTGGGGTTTTGTCTTGTCTAAACCAACATCCATTTCAATAATAGGAAAGTACACTCACTGCCAAAGAAAACCAGTTTCCTAGGATGATATACACTGCTGATCATAAAGCCTAGTCCTATTTACAGAATAGCAATGTTGAACAGAAAGCCAAAAGACATTTAATTCTCACAAGAACGGAACATAAACGGTATCCTTCCAYCAGCGCATATGAATAAGTAGTTCTAACACTTCCTTCCAAGGAGATGCCCTTCAATTCCTGCCTAGAAAAAAATCCAGCATCTCTATTGGCAAAACTCTGCTCTGACAGGTAAATTGCAGAGAGTGGTTGGGAATTATGCTGATATAAAAAAAAATGATACAAACAAATGATCAGCAAGGCTCACCATACTGCAGACTTGCTGCCAAACCTCTAAACTCTAAATATGAAAGAGAAACCTGGGTGTGGCATGCAGAAATGTTTTCTGCTCCCCAAATAATTTGCAAAGAGTGATGCTTCCGTGAAATCAAAATTTGTGTTTAAATATGCCTCCCTATGAAAACATTCAGGATCTTTACTGTGCTAGACTAAGCTGAACTAAACTACCCTTAGTTCATTTAAAACTTAATTCTAGTGCTTACAAATTAATTCCTGACCCTCTGAACTAATATATCACATGGTTGTAAAAGCTATCGAGGACTCAAATCTGGTGTTAGAGAGTCTTCAGACTGTACTTTCTTCTTATGAAAAATTAATCACTTAGCTGCTGTTTCTGTTTTCTTCAAAACAGTTATTGAAGGCACTTGCAATCATCAGCTTCCCTAATCTGTACTTAGAACACAGTCACAGCACTTTCACACAGCATCATTTCATATCAACTGAGTAGGTATTTTGCAATAATGCTTCAGACTAATATTTTTTCTCAGTGCTCTTTTAAAATAATTTGTACATATATAGCTTCTTCTACTTTTAAAAGCTTTTCAAAAGACCAGTAGAAAGGTTTGTCAGGAATTTACTCCAGAGAAAGAAGGGAGAGAAGATGACTACAATCTAGGAAATCCTGCAACAGAAGGTTACAAAAGCCTTGGATGCAAATTTGTGTTATTTGATTTGATCCTAAAGCAAGAGTTTGAAATCAGTTATTTAAGGGTACTCTATATCTGAGAAGGGAAGTTTGTAATAAGCAACAGTTTAATAGAATAATTCAGCCTCATGTCTGTAAGAAAACTCATTCGGTTACTCAGTTTCTACATCGGTCAAGATTCTCTAGCACCAGCAAAGACTGAATAACATTACTAAACAAAGTCCCAACATATCACATCYGCACACATCACAAAGATAGCCTAAGCTTCACAGCCAGTTCCAGGATCAGCCTTTGAGTTAGTGGCTTAAACTCTGCAAGTACTTGCCCTATGTCAAAATACTGTGCAGTATTAATAGATTTTTTTTAAGACTAATTGTTATGTTCTGTGGTTTTGTTTATCTCCATTAGAAAATACAAAACATATTCAGAATGTTTAAATATTTTTAACTAAGCCTGCTCTCTGATTCAAACCAAGTCATTTGTATCTTTAATACCATATTATATCTTTAGATACATATGAGTCTATGAGACTTCATATTTGAAAATATTTTAAAGATGTTACTATGATACATATGATATTAATAACAGTCACGCGTGGAGAAAGAATCGGACGTATTTTATGTTTCAGCTTAACTGTTTAAGGATAAAATCCCTAAAATAAAGCCAAGTCAGAAAGTCATTTATGTTCTTAAATGCAGTGACTTTCACATGATCAGTTTAACAGCTGAGACACAACATCTATAGAACATATAGAGTTACTTATAAGAATACAGGATGATGTTATTGCTTTGCCTTACTATGATTCAGACCTGCGAAGGCAATATGCAGCACTGTGACACTTTGCATTATAAGTCTTAAAGATATATGAAAACTCTATTTGAATTACTGTTTGCAAGTAGTGTGTCGTATTTTTGTACCTGTAAGGTTTTGTCAGAGCCTGTAGAATATGTATTAAATCACATTTACTGCACTGACCACTGACAATAGCTGAGTGGACTTATTTTTTACAAGTTACTTTTCAGAGTGCATTCCTGTTTCCTTAATTGATGATTCTCCTGTCTGTTTCTCCTTAATCTTTATGTTTAGAATTACAAATGCCRAAAGTGGAAATGGAGAAGAACTGGATACAACTCCAACAATGTTTGGGGCAATTCAAATGCTCAAATAAATTACAAGTACTGTAATCAATCCAATAAATCATTGAATAACAAACAAACATAACTACTTCACTGTTCAAACTCTTTTCTTTATCTATTTTGATTTTTTTTCTTTTTTTTAGCATTTCTATTTATGTTATTCACAGATTTGGCCAAATGTGTTGTATTTCAAAGTGAAATCTTAGATATACTGTATTGCCAACACCTACAGCTTTCACCATGTCTTCATTAGCACATTGACAGCCTTCAAAATATAGCTCCATCTGAAAGCTGTTCTAAACTTCCTGCAACCACCTACCGTGCTGTCCAAAAGCTCAGTCCCAAAATTATTCACGTAGTGCAGCCAAGCTGACGATATTGACTAGTGAGAAACACTAATTGCTAACACTGCAGCAGGAAAATTCAAATATTAACAGAAATAAAGAGTTTTTACAAAGCTATTTGACTCTGATGCTAGCTAAGCATAAAAGATAATGATGTGTTTAAATACTGTTGTATTAATATTCACAGTTAAATTAAAATTTTACATACCTTGAGAAGTGATGAAGATGAGATACATGTGACTTGTAACTCAGGTTAAATAATCCATTTAGCTGCTTCAATCAGCTACTATAAAAGATTCATCTATAGAATAAAACATAGAGATTTTAAGATTCTTTTATATTAAGATGGTAAAAGAGCCAGTGCAGAAATCAATTAAAATCTTTAAAATAACAAAAAGTGTAGCCTAACTTCAAGATTATATGTAGTCAGATAACCCTATAATAGCAATATTTCATTTTAAATGATTCGTGAAACAATTAACTGTCATCRTTACTAACCATGCATAACACAGTGTGACTTCAATTGACACTTTAAGGTTAAGGTCTTGTCTGATCTTTAAAAAAAATCATTGTAGAGTTTGAAATGACAATCTGAAGTCACACTGCCAGACTACTGGAATATGTTAGAAGTGAATCTGTGACCCTCTTTTAGGGTTGGGGCACAAGGACAGAAATGATTTTTTAAACCATGATGTTTATGGTTATTTTTATATTTTGGTACCTGTAAAATAGGTTTCAGAAAGAATTAAAATGTTCATACACCCCTGCAGAGTTATTTGCTTGTTCTAAGCAAAATAAATTCTACAAATTATTTAGGTATATATGGGTACTGTTCRTATTGCTGATTCACAGCTTTTATTTCAAATGTGTATAATACTTTGCCTAGGTTTTACTAAGGGCCTCTGTCATTTCTCTTCGCAGTGCAGTAATCCTGCATCCTGTAAGAGGTGACATTTACTGTGGGATCCTAAGCAGCCAAGAAGTTGATTCCTTAACGACAGTGAGAAAGAAAGTTTTGCATAAAGAAACTTCTAAAGAAAATGCAGTCAGGGTTATAGGACATATATTCCAGCTCATGGCTGGGTATTACTGATATTACCATTTGTTTTCTAAGAAAGAGTAGTAGTCCAAAAATTGCTTGTTTTACCGCAATACAATAACGAAAGCTTGTAGGGATTTAACCTAGTATACAACAGTAAAGCTAACGGGTAACAAGGACACTAAACAAAAAGGAGAGGGAGGGAGGAGTCTTGAAATAAAATGAAGCTTTTAAAATAAAGGCCAGGATGACAGCTTAACTAGGGCTGTCATAGATGATTATCAGTTACTGAGATTGAATTCAAGGCTAGCTGCCGTGCCTGAGAATACTCCCTTCCTGCACCAGAAGGCACGGCTTGTGTTGCATAGATAACTGGGAGAAATTGTACAGTCTCAGTTATAACTGGTGAGTTTGTCATCCGTGCAACAGCCTTTTCTCATCTTAGAGCTCAAAGGCAGATACCACCCACATGAATATAGAAGTGGGAGCATCTCCAATTTACCTAGGTATTCATGACAGTCATGTTCAAACAGTTTGTTTTACTTGTTAGTCATAGGCAGCTGTTGCAAATTTCGCAGTGGTGAAATAAGAAACCTGGCTTTGCACTTCATGAACAGTTAAAGGTGGAAAGAGCTAAATGACACTTTTTTTTTCACCAGACTAGAGCTAGGTCTCATTAGCTATAGGATGTTCTTCATCCGCCGTATTTGTTGGCAGGATCAGCTATTTCGCATTTAAAGTGGAATACTAAGGATAAAGCATTTATAAGGCATACAATTTCCTCRTTTGAGGATTATAATACAGCAGAAGTCCTTAGTTCCATTGAGAAGTAAAAAAATAAAGATAGAAGATATGAATATATTGCATTTTTTTTAACTAGTGCAACAAGTAGTGACACATCCTGGTTGATTCAGTTTGCATATTCCATCGCATTTCTCCCCAGTTTTAAACGGGATTTTGTCACAGAAAAAAATGATCAAAACTTTATATACTTCCTTTTTTTTAACTATATTGCAAATGAATTTTATGCGGGTGTCTTGAGTATTTGCATTACATTACATTACATTAACATATATTGTTAATTGTTGACTAAAAACGRCTATGCTAATGAAATTTTTAGACACTTTCTTTGTTTGATCTGAACTGCAAGAGGTTTGATGTTGAATGAGTCCAAATGTACTCGGTTCAATCATGAACTTGGTTCAATCATGAATACGCTTTTTTGCATCATTCACAATAACCTCTTGCACATATATCTATCAACTACCATTTAAAAGCAAGGTATTCCATGCTGAATTGTGTTATGCATGTTGCATACAAATACTACAACAGCTGTAAGCAATGAAAACTACAAACAAAAGAATAGAAATGGAAAATAGAATTACTAGGGACACTAAATTGCAATGCAGTCTTAAATGTCTCTCACCTGAAGTGATTTATTCTTTGTTGTTAAATACTTCTTTGTRTGTATTGGTAGAGCATTGGCCTAGATCAGTGTGCAAGTCAGATGGCTGCAAGTGAATTAATCATAACTGTCTGCCAAGATCTARCATATAGAGCCACCATTCCCAGAAGCCACATAGTTTGGGACATTTGCACAGAGACTCCTGAGGGGAAGGAAAGGGGGAAGATGATCATGAACTATGACCATGCATACACTGCATAGACTGAGTTCACTGAATTGCTCTACTAYCTATTATTCCAATGTTTAGTGAGACAAACAAGGGTATGTCGGTTATAACCACACTGAGAGTGGTTATGACTGCTCTGCGTTTATATGGGTCATCTTAAAAAGGCACATTTTGAATAGCAGGATGGTCACATCTTAGAAAATATAGCGAAAAAAAAAAAATCATATCCTGCAGGAGAATAGGGCTAACAGATAGGATAAGCATATGAATGATAGGTTAAATATTAAATTTTAAAAGCTACAGAGAAAGCTAGGCAGCGTGAATAATGGATAACTCTAGGTAGAAAAACTGCCAAGCAATAAGGGCATT